CCCTGCAGCCCTCTCCCTGCAACCCATGTCTGTATTTGCCCTTTCGGAACTCTGCCCATCAACAGCGCACTGTCAGGAAGTTGTCAATTAGAATATTCTCTTTTGGGTTCCCCTCATGTATTTTGTCTTGATAGACAGGATGACACCAGGAGTAGAACTGTGAGAAAGAAATGGTCAGACTTAAGTCTGTTTCTGTCTCTTAAACTGTGTGAGCTGGGACAACTCACTGAATTGCAGAAACTTGCATTTCCCTCATTCATCAAGAAGATGATGCCTGCACATCTGTTTTTTTTTTTCTTTTTTTAACATCTTTATTGGAGTATAATTGCTTTACAATGGTGTGTTAGTTTCTGCTTTATAACAGAGTGAATCAGCTCTACATATACATATGTCCCCATATGTCTTCCTTCTTGTTTCTCCCTCCCACCCTCTCTATCCCACCCCTCTAGGTGGTCACAAAGCACCGAGCTGATCTCCCTGTGCTATGCAGCTGCTTCCCACTAGCTATTTATTTTACGTTTGGTAGTGTATATATGTCCATGCCACTCTCTCACTTCGTCCCAGCTTACCCTTTCCCCTCCCCGTGTCCTCAAGTCCATTCTCTATGTCTGTGTCTTTATTCCTGTCCTGCCCCTAGGTTCTTCAGAACCACTCTTTTTTTTTTAGATTCCATATATATGTGTTAGCATACGGTATTTGTTTTTCTGTTTCTGACTGACTTCACTCTGTATGACAGACTCTTGCACATCTGTTTATCAAGCTTGTTTTGAGCCTTAAATGAAGTGATGGACATACAAGCATTTTATGAACTTATAAAATATACTGTTATTATTAAAGAAAAGGAAAACCTGTTGCCAAGATTGAGCTCACTTTGGCATATGCAGATTATTCATCTATTGGGTTATGTATCATAATTGGGGAAGAAATAAACATTTGATCTCTGCCAGTGATTCCTGCTCTCCCTTGACAGCCTCTACTCACACTTTCGGTGAATAATTGCTTTATGGCTTAAACTTTGTGAAGGATGTTTTAAGGACTCCGGTCTTAGTAGCATCTGCCGCCAAGAAGCTGATACATGTTGTTTAATGTCAAGATCTTGAAACTTGTTTGTTTTGGTAACTGAAGCTATATTGAAGGGACTTTTTTTTTTCCTCCCCTTAAAGCAAGCACTCTCTGTTAAATTCTTACTGGTGTTCCTTTGAGTCTTTTGCTCAAAGCAAAATGGTTGTTTCATTTATAGACTTATAATTAGAGAATTCATTTATTTGTGGAAGTTTTTGCTGTGAGCGAGCAGAGGGCCTCTACGTGTTTATCACAAGGCTATCCTGGCCGGCCCCAGTTTGCTTTGCAACTTGAATTGCCCATGACATGTGAGAGAGTGGTAAAGCTTCCAAAATTTTTCTCAGGTGGTGTATGCAGTAGCTCTTCACGAGTAGGTTCATTTTACTTTTTTTTTTTTTTTGCGGTACGCGGGCCTCTCACTGTTGCGGCCTCTCCCGTTGCGGAGCTCCGGACGCGCAGGCCCAGCGGCCATGGCTCACGGGCCTAGCCGCTCCGGGGCATGTGGGATCTTCCCGGACCGGGGCACAGACCCGTGTCCCCTGCATCGGCAGGCGGACTCTCAACCACTGTGCCACCAGGGAAGCCCTCATTTTACTTTTTGAAGGAAAAAAATGTTTTCTCACACTTTTTTGTCTTCAGCTAAACCACAAACTGCTGAGGAAAAAAACAACATCTCGCTTACCCATACTTTCTTGCTCTGTAAAGTGATATATAAATTTCCCAAAGAATATGTTTTGAGGGACAGATAAGCAAATTGAACTGTAAATACTGAGTTCTTTCTCTAGGCTTTCATATGCTATTTTACCTTAGATGTAAATATGTTTTAAAAAAATTGCTGATACTGATAAGTGGCGTCCTTGTTGGGTGTTTGCAAAACTGATGTTACTCTGGGTGGAGTTTTAAATATTTAGTCTGAGGATTTAACCAGATTGTTCGGTGACTGTTTTGGCCCATGGTTAAATGTCTTCCAGGACAGTCTTAAGCCTGGTATCAGTAATTTCTAAAACTTTCTCTGTCCAAGTCTAACTTGTGGATTCTAGAACTTCCAGAGTTTCTGAACACCCCTGATATCTGAGGCTGTCCAATGTACAACAGAAGAGGCTTAATTATAGTGTATTTTCAGTTGAGTCACAGTATAGAAAGAATTCCATTGTGTTCTTTGGAGTCTTTTATATTTATCCTACATTCATGTTTGTGTGGCACATGAATGAAAAAAACAAAAAACGTTTTGCAGAGGCCAGTTCAGTCAAAGGGCTGAATGAGCCAAGGCCAGGCCACACCAGCTCCCTATGTCCTGCCATCATGAATCGTGACTCGTGGCCTCTGGCCAAAGTGTTTAATATTAGCACTTCTCTCACATGTGAAGGGGAGGAAGCAGAGCTAGCATTTGTTGAACATGTCATAAGGGCCGGGCTCTGGGCTAGCTATCTCGCTGTCTTTGTTTCCTCAATTAACCAGTTCAGTGATGTGTCCAACATCTCCCATGCCTCACTGTCTTAGACTTTTACTCTGATCATCCCAAACCTTAATTCTCTCCATTACTTGGATTTTACCAATTATTTCTCAAGAAGCACAGAACCATACTTTTTCTTTACCCACTAATGATCATGCAATTTGTTTCTTGCTTTTTACCAAGAATTTAAGGTGATTTCTAAAATAATGCACAATACATCAAGACATACATTGCAAATGGGCAAGGAAGACAGAATAAGGTGGAAAGGGAAGCACAGGCCTGAGGTGATCTACGAGTCCTTTCCATGTTTACTCCCTTTGCCAGCAGAGGAAGTGGCCTTTCTGCCACAGCCACACCCAACTGACTCTTTCTGTCAGACCAGTAAGAATACTGCACAGGCTACATTAAGGGCAGGCCAAGTTTCTCTTCGGTTTTCTCAAAACCCATGCATTTTATTGTATAGAAAAAAAGCACAGCTGGCTTTAGCTTTAGAAAACAAACAACCATAAAATATACAAACTTATTCAGCACATATTTTTGTGTCCTAGGTTATGCCAGACGCCCATCATTTTGGCCACTCTAACAGCCCAAAGAGGTTGGCTGTGTGCTCTCACTCCTGAACGTGTGAGAACAGTCAGGTTGGAAAAGGGGAGACTGATCTACCTAAGGCCTCCCTCCAAGCCAGGAATTATGTGGAGTTGGGCCGTGATTCCTGTCTTCTGATTTCTAACCAGTGTTGACTCTTCACGGGGATTATGTCTGCTAAATTAGAAGTATGTGTAAACTAAAATTTGCTCATTTAACACATTCATTTGCTTCCTCTTGACAGTCTTCATTTCTAATTAATTTATAATAGTGGCACATGGGAGTGGTGGCTGCCTTAATTGCAGTGAGAAGCAACAGCTGACACCAAGGGAGGTGTGCTCAGCAATCTGCATGGGATAATCCCTACAGCTTAGGGTCAACTCCAAACAGCCCCACACCCTCATTAGCTCCAGAGGGTCTCAACCCTAATGGAGCCCAGAACGATTATTACATTTGTTACGATGACCTCACGTGATCCACAACAGCTTCATTTATGTTTAGTAGATTATACTTAAGAAGGCAATGGAGCTCTTTAAGAATCTAACCAATCAACTCTACTTCAATAAAATTAAAAAGAAAATAAAAGAATCTAACCAGACTCACACGTTCGACACTGCATTGCCCCAACTGAGGTTAATAGAGACGGACAGGAGTGAGCCGAGTGGTACATTCAAGTATCTAGATGGACCAGCAACTTGATAAGAGATGCAAAGAAATAGTGTATCTGTTTAAGCAACATGCATTGAAATAGAAGATCTAGTATAGAAACATACATTAAATTTGTCTTTTGCATTTCATTACATGTAGAAGTGAGGACATACTCATTTCTGCCTTTGAAGCAGAAGTGGGAACTAAAAATGTTTTAGGCTATAAAAAATATATTTTGTAAAGGGGTTTTTTTTGTTTTTTGCATTTATACTCTAGAGAGGATGGTGTCCAGGTTTGTGTCTATCTATAAATGTGCAGTGAACTATACTGTCCATTTAGTATAAAAACAAGCAAATAATTAGCTAAATTTACCTGTGCTGTGATATGGTGCATCTAAAAGTGTGTAAAAAGTGAGGATGTGGGAGGACTTCCCTGGTGGCACAGTGGTTAAGAATCCAGCTGCCAATGCAGGGGACACGGGTTTGAGCCCTGGTCCGGGAAGATCCCACATGTCACGGAGCAACTAAGCCTGTGCACCACAACTACTGAGCCTGTGCTCTAGAGCCCGCGAGACAACTACTGAGCCCACGCACCACAACTCCTGAAGCCTGCATGCCTAGAGCCCATGCTCGGCAACAAGAGAAGCCACTGCAGTGAGAAGCCCACGCACTGCAGCTAGGGAAAGCCCGTGAGCAGCAATGAAGACCCAAAGCAGACAAAAATAAATAAATTAATTAGTTAATTTAAAAAAAAATTGAGGTTGTCGGAAATATTTTTTAGTAGCTTTTTTCCCCCAGTTTTTTAAAATGAGAAAATGACTTTTAGCATAAATAGCATTTAAAAGTCATTTCGAGCAATGACAAAACAAAATGTTTGTTTACATCTTAAGGCATATATTCATTTTCTCTTGAGATAGAGAAAATAGGTATTTTTTTAATATTTCTGAAAAAAGTTTTGGATTTGAAATAGATGTGTAAAATTTTGTTCTGAATGAATTTTTTTCCTATCTAACATGGGAAAGTATTGGTCTAAACATGAATCATGTTGTGTTGATTAAAGAGGATGAGGAGAGACAGAAAAAATATTCACCTTCTGAAAATTTAGTAGGTGTTTCCAAAATAACAGGCTGATGTCAGTTTCTTATACTCTTCTCTCTGTATGTTTATTCACTAATGCTTGTATGTAAGCCATTGTGTAAATCACCTGTATAACGATCTTGTCTTTCCCTTGGCCTTCATCCCCTGTGTTTCAGGTGGGCCAGCCATGAGAGGGTACCTTGTGGCCATCTTCCTGAGTGCTGTCTTCCTCTATTATGTGCTGCATTGTATATTGTGGGGAACAAATGCCTATGGGTAAGTTTTATTTTTGCTGTTTAAAAATGACTACCAAACTGGTGTTTCACATAGACCTGCAAATGGTATTAGAGGGACCTATTAAAAAAAACAAAAAACAAACAAACAAAAAACAAACCCTGTAACTCTTTGAACCTTTTCTAGCTTTTCCATTATAAATTGGAGTTTTACCATTCTAGTATCTTATACATTACATCTAACAGTTTAAATATTGATAAACAACAACATCTTTTTGTTGACTTTTCAGTGAAGCAGTGGTGTTGACTGTCTTTGGGGCATCCCATTCTTATTTATATAATTCATCTTTTTGAATTGATGGAGTAATTCTTAGACTCAGTGGCACTTGATTCTTAGAGTCTAAAATGCTTGGATAAGAGACTGTTGATAAAATGTAGACACTACATATGGTTCCTTTCGTTTAAAAATATTTGGTGAATAATGATGTATGTGCAATTTGAAATGACTTCGACTTGAAATGTCACATATAAAATTTGAAGAGGCACAGGTAGTTTTATTAAAGAGAAAACTTCTATAATAAGATTTTTATCATTTTTCCTTTTTTTTTCTATTTTGAAAAGTACTTAGTTTGAATAAATTAATTGCAAATAAAAAATTAGCTACAGTTTATAGCCTGAATAGAAATGACTGGAATAAATACCACACAGGACTTGATTTCCTTGCATTCGTCACAAAGCATGTGACAATCTAGAAAACTTCAAAGTCAATTATATTTCTTTGAAAAAGGAGTAACAGCAGTTACCGATATACATCACAGCTCATCAACTTATAATACAAGCTTCCTGACACGCATTTCCTGAGTGAACCCAAATGATCATTTTTTCAAACAAGGACATTTTGACAAGTTGAAGTAAAGTAAAATGGTTCATGGCTTCTAAGCAACAGGTTTTGTTTTTTAAAAACCAAAAGAAAATTCAGAACAGCATTGTAATAGGATAAATTAAAGCTATGCTACCACATACACAATTTTGCTAGAGTCGACTGAGTGTAACACAACTTTTCGAACGAACCAAAGGAAAACAAATCGAGAGATTAAAAAAATGATTCTGTCTAATCTAAAATCTGATTTCTACAAGTGTCACGAAGGGTTTGAGGTAGCACAACTGTCTGTACTTTCCTTGTGGTATGTTTAAAAAAAGGGGGTGGGGGAGGGGGAGGGGAGAGGAAATCTTTTCTCGCTCCTGAAAGCAAAGAACTTATTGGAATTAGAGAATAAACTGACCATGCAAGTATGTCCCTCCATTTGGCTATCACTGGTGCTCATCTGCCAGCCAAACATTTCCTTGCCTCCCACTGTGGCAACTGTCCTTTTAGGATTCAGGCCCACAGTTAAGGCTGGTCCGTTAGATTAACAGCAACAAAAAAAGAGCACTGTGGTCATTCAACCCTTTATACCTCCCTAAATTTCTTAACACCTGAATAAGTCCAAATACAGGATAGCTGATTAAGCATTTCTTTTTCTAAAAGCAAATCGAGTCACTCTCCTTTCTTGTTAATTTATGCTTTTTCTCATGAGGATGATTTTTTTCTAGAAAAGTGAACAGATGAACCACAGTTTATATCTAAAAAATAAACTTGCCAAATGTTGCTGATACTAAAAACAGATTAGTTATCATGGGAGGAACATTAGATAATCTAGATTAAATTGCCTACTCAAAGGTGCATATAAAATGTTTCGTAGCATTAAGTTTTTGTTATAGTACTACATTCGGGAGAAACATTAAGGAAAAAATCTTTCCTGATTATCTTCAATGTGGTTAAAAACAAAACATCTCGTACATAATGGTCATTAATATGAATTTGTTTTTACAAAGTATTCTAATTTACCAAATTTCATATTTAGATGGGGGTGGGGAGAGAGGTTCTCTTGTCCTCTTCCTAACTTTGCAAATCCTTGAGCTATGCTTTGCTAAACTACCATTCACACCAAGTGTGAGACCATCGTTACCGTGCTACTCTATCACGAACATTCTAAGATATTTTCTATAATAAAGATAAATAGAGAAAAAGTTAATATACATGTTGCTGTATTCTACAATGTTTGCAACAAACTGTAAACTAACAAGTTTGAACCAACAGTACCCTCAGTTATACAAAACAATTTTTCAACCCTGAGGATGGGTGATTCAAAAACACTAAAGGCATCAAATTAGACTATGTCTATTTCTCCTAAAAATATATTTTCAAAACTCAGAATTCAGAAGTCTGGTACTTTTGGAAATTCCTTTGCTTGAGTTTCCCAGATTTTTGCTCAGAAATTGCTACTATGTGTTATAAATGTTTTAAAAAATTCTTCATCTTAATGCAAATGACCAGAGCAGAAAAACTGACGTGGACAACGGGTTGGAAAACCCAAATCACTTAGCTTATAAATGTATAATGTAATCCTGGAGGACAACTGTTAGTCTAGAGGTATCCTTTTTCCTATTGTCAGTCCTTTGGTGAGGAATCAAGTTTTGATGACCTTTAAATCCTGAATGAGTGGTGAGTATAGGATGTCAAAATAAACCACATAAAAACTTCCTGTCTTAGACAAAAGTTCGGTACTTTTTGCCAGTGTTTGAATAGTAGATCCTAGATCACGTTTTTAGGTTTTGTTTTGTTTTGCTAGATTAAAAAAATGATGCTTCTGCATTTAACTTCATCACTGGTTGATTGTAATGCTCTTTATGGAAGGAAGTTAGGCAAATCATTGTAATGCTCTTTACGGTCACTGAAAAAACCCAATGCCAGGTGGGTCGGTTTGGACACAAGTTTTGAGGTTTTGGACTTAAATAATGAGCCATAGATCTCAGGAGTCTGATTATATACCACACGAGGATCCTACTGCAGGCATCTCTCCCTCCATCTCTGCCACTTTTGTCTCTGTCCTGTACTTAGTAATGGAAGACAAGAACAGAAAAGAAAGCACGAAGTTTACTAGATTGCTAATTCCCTACAAATCCTATTCTTGGTCACAGGGGAAATGATAAAGAAGACAATGAAAAGGGTCCAAATTCAGCACATTTTTCTTGTCATCAGAATTTGAGGCACGTTCATGTCACTCCTAAGCTAACACATTACTGCAGACACAGAAAGTATCGTGAAATTACCTCGGATGCTGGTAATTACCTCGGAGCTGGAAATTACCTCGGAACTTGCTTCCTTAAAAACTGTTTAAGACAAGTAATTGTCTTTTTTTAAGAAAAAACACCCACAGTCTTCACAATATCCCCAAATAGTTTGTTTTCTGGTTTAATAACCTTAGAAACCAAGTAATATCTTATACTTTATTTTGTCCTCTGACTATAATTTGGGTTTGTGGCCTGGTGTGCTGGCCCACCATATTTATGTGCCTTCCTCACATATAAATCAAGAGAGTTTTGCCATTTGGGGTATTTACAAAAGATGATTCTCTGCATCTGGCCTCAATGTTCAGAAAGCTAGCAGTTTTAACTGTGGATTTTGTACCAAAAAAAGTTTAAAATTGAGTCAATCCATGAAGGGTTTAGGCTGTTTCTCTTTGAATCCTGTGATTGCAGAGGAAAATTGATTCAAAATTGATTCTAATTTTTTAGATTAATTCTCCACACAACTGATGATCATTAATAGTTTTTTTTTTTTTTTTGGTGGTACGCGGGCCTCTCACTGTTGTGGCCTCTCCCGTTGCGGAGCACAGGCTCCGGACGCGCAGGCTCAGCGGCCATGGCTCACGGGCCCAGCCGCTCCGCGGCATGTGGGATCCTCCCAGACCGGGGCACGAACCCGTGTCCCCTGCATCGGCAGGCGGACTCTCAACCACTGCGCCACCAGGGAAGCCCTTTAATAGTTTTTTATATTAGGCTGTTCGCTCTTTCCTGGCTGAGTCTGGGTCCTGCTGCCCCCTGTCCCCTTCATTTGTTTTCATTGTTGTGCTCTGTCTTGTATCACAATACCCTTTGAAATTGTGGAGACAAGTGCTCCATTCAGGGGACACACAAGCGCCTAACCTGTGCCAAGAATAGAGGGGAGTTAGGTATGTGACTCTAAATGGTGGGATTTGGGGAGTCCCCGGGGCACAGGCAGGGGCTACGGAACCTGCTCGGGGCAGTGTCTCTGTGGCGTTTGCTGCCCATGGGTGTCCCCGCGTGTGGCACAGAGGACCTACATAGCCGTGTGCATTTTTCAGGCTTTTAGGAACTTCTAAACTGTGAGTCTGGTCTTGGCTTCCACAGTGTGATGATCCCAGTTCTTCTCAAAGGGTCCTTTGAGTCACTGCTCTTTGACCCTTCTGGGTCACTCGTCACCTCAGCCTTTTCCAGTCTCTCGCTTTGCATCCATGAATCCTCAAATGTGTCCAGGACTTAGGAGAAGCTTCTGTCATACGTCAGGGGCTGCGGTGAGCGTTTCTATTCCCTGCCTGAGAAGCCTCTCACTGGTGGCACCGCGTGGGCTCCCAGGGCATTTTCTTCCCTTTGGGCCGTCTTCCTCGTTCTGGTTTCTGACTGACGCTATTTTTGTCTCATAGGGTGCCACCTGTGGAAATGAAGAAGAGAAATAAGATCCAGCCTTGTTCATCAAAGCCAGCTTTTGCCTCTCTCCTGAGGTAAAAATACAAAAGAAACCGTGGTACACAAAATGTTCAAAATGTGTTTGTAATCATTCTCCACACTTGTTTGCTTTTTTTCACGCAAATCTTAGCAGTATAAGTACATAATATGGTTATCCTACATTTAAGGAAGAGCTTGACTATCCTGTGTCTTTTTGTGCTTTTAGTCAGAACTCTGCATATATTTTAAGAAAAGGCATTGAAGAACTCAGTCAGACCAGTATTCTTTTCACACAGGTGAGATTAGAGAGGTCTGTTTGTGTTTGATCATAAAAGAGTGCACTGTCCTTTTAGGGTTTTCTTTCCCCACCCTTGTTCCCATGTTATTTTCCACCCTTGTTATTTTTATTTAACTTCTAGGTTAAAGTTTACAGTAGATATTTTCCTTTCACAGACTTTTAATGAACTACATAGAATGTAAATAATGATTATTCATTATGGTTGTCAGGACTTGTAGAGAATTTACTCTTCCATCCATAAACATTCTTTTTCTTTGTCACCACTGCTTTGATAGAGTGCTGGTCAAAGTGCTTCCAGATTAATAGAAATCAATGACAGTCGGGTCTGGGCATGTTGAAGTGTGTAAAACACATACAAGCTTTTCAGCATTTTATCTTTTAAGGATCTAAAATTAACATTGTCTTTTCTTATTTTCTTTTATCGTATTACTGTATCTCTCCATGACTGGTTCTTAACCTTTTGGGGCTACAGGTCCCTTTAAAAATCAGCCAACCTTCTGGAAAACTTTAGATACATAAAATATTTTTACATCTGACTACAGGTGTGCCACGGCTGCTTGTAGTCAGTCTGTGGGTGTGTGTCCAGTTAGGATCACTGCAAAACTAGAAGAGTGATGTTAAACTTTTTTTTTTTTTTTAAACCATGACCCATAGTAAGAAATACATTTTGCTTTGGAACTTAGTATCCATACATATTTATAATAAAAAAAAGAAAGAATTTTTACCTTTCCTACTCCAGATACCCTGTATTCTGTTCTATTCACTTTTTAAAAATGAGCTGACCATGACTCGCAAAATTGACTTCATGAGCCACCCATGGGTTGCAGACTGCAGCTTCAAAGTGCTACTCTAGAATCAAAGTACTCTTCAGCTTTCGAGAGAAAAGGCATTTTCTTTCTGAGAAAACCCAAAGGGGTTAGAGTATTTATGAAAGATTGCTCAGCAGGTGTGTAAGTCTGCACATTTGTCACGTGAATAGTATTCCCTGGAGGCAGAGCTCCCTCCTTTGCAGTAGCCATCAGGAGAAGCTCTGCTGGGAAACCTGGCGGAGTTACCTGCAGTGCTATGAAGAGGACACGTTTCCTTAGCATTGAGCTTGGGTGTGGTTTCTTCTTTGTCAGGTATGGGTTAGTGACTCCAGATAATAGTTACTTCACTTTTTATAGCTTTGGTTTCTTTGTCTCGTCGACTGAAAAAAAAAAAAAAAAAAAAAAAAAGCACAGCCTAAACGTTGAGAATGTTTTATTTGGGGACCTTACTGAGGACTGTAGCCTGGGATGGCAGCCTCTCAGATAGCTCTGAGGAACAGTTCCAAAGAGGTAAGGGAGGAAATATTGGAGTTTTTGCTGAAAAAGACAGACATGTAGCCATGTTGCAGGAAGGGAGACCCCTTCCAGGGTCCTAGAGTGAGCTCTTGTGTAACACTCGGAAATGTATTGTCTGAGGAGACACACGTGCTGACAAAGCAAGAGACGTTATTGCGAAGGGGCGCCCGGGCGGAGAGCAACAGGGTAGGGGAACCCAGGAGGATTGCTCTGCCACGTGGCTCGCAGTCTCGGGTTTTATGGTAACGGGGTTAGTTTCCGGATTGTCTCTGGCCAGTCATTCGGATTCGGGGTCCTTTCTCGTGGTGCACGCATCACTCAGCCAGGATGGATTCCAGCGAGGAGGATTCTGGGAGGTCGGTAGGACACGTGGACTGGCGTCTCCTCTGTCTTTTTGACCTTTCCCGAATTCTTCCGGTTGGTGGTGCCTCATTAGTTCCGTGTTCCTTACCAGGACTTCCTGTCGTAAAATAACTCATGCAAATTGTTACTGTCTTTGCCTGGTCAGGGCAGGCGGTTTCAGTCAGTGTTTCCCTTAACAGTCAGGTATCAAAAGATGACTGCTAATCACAAAAAAGCAGACATCTCAAGTTAATGATTTTAGTGCTTCTCTATGAATAGGAAGATGCAGGAGTCTGGGCTTATTGAAATTATTCCTTTTGTTATGCACCTTAACTATCTAGGGGCAGCATCCTGTTTTTCTCCACCGTGTATCCCCCTCGGGGTGTACCATCTGGGGCGGCTGCAGTGGGCTGAAGGCTTGCTGGCCTCAACATCCTTTGTTTACTGGAATGGCAGGCCACATTTTTTTTTTCCACAGTCTAAATTGGTTAGTAGAATTTACCTTCCTTTCCAGGCTTTTGTAGGAGTAACAACAGCAAAGATGATCATTATAATGTAATATAACATACTGTAACATAATACGATGTAATATATAATTATTACAGATAAGGCAGATACTTATTGAGCCCCTACTCTGTGTGAGACATGGAGTTATCGACTAAAAAAAAAACACAACCTAAAAGTTGAGAATTATGTTTTATTTGGGATGTTACTGAGGACTTAAGCCTGGGATACAGCCTCTCAGATAGCTCTGAGGGACTGTTCCAAAGAGGGAGGAGCCAGGATTTGTAGGAGTTTTGGGGAACAAAAAAACAGGGAGTCGAACATCAAAAGATTACTGCTGGACTTCCCTGGTGGCGCAGTGGTTAAGAATCTGCCTGCCAATGCAGGGGACACGGGTTCAAGCCCTGGTCCAGGAAGATCCCACATGCCATGGAGCAACTAAGCCCGTGCACCACAACTACTGAGCCTGTGCGCCAGCGCCACAACCACTGAGCCTGCGCTCTAGAGCCCATGAGCCACAACTACTGAGCCTGTGCTCTAGAGCCCATGCTCTGCAACAAGAGAAGCCACTGCAATGAGAAGCCTGCAATGAAGAGTAGCCCCTGCTCACTGCAACTAGAGAAAGCCCATGTGCAGCAACGAAGACCCAACGCAGCCAAAAATAAATAAAATAAATAAATTTTAAAAATAAGGATTACTGCTAATTAAAGAAAAAACAGACATCTCAAGATAATGAATTTACCCCTTTTCTATGTGTGGGAAGATGCAAGAAACTGTATTATTGGAATTATTCCTTTGATACGCACCTCAGCGATCTGGGGCCAGTATCCTGTTTTCCTTCCTCCTGAATTCCCCTCAGGGTGCACAGTTGGGGGGCGGCTGCAGTAGCCGAAGGCTTGATGGGCTTCAACATCCTTTGTTTACTGAAATGGCAGGCCACTGTTCTTTGCCACAGTGCTTAACAGTTATTTCATTTAGAAATAAAATGTAAGTCACTTAGTACAAGGTCTGACTGGCAGTAGATGTTAATCATCAGTTACCATCATTATCACTCCCACCAACTCTGAAGAATAGCATCCTTTATTGCTTTCACCTCAAGGTGCAAAGTCATCTGCGGTTTACTTTCCCAAGGAAGCCTGGGAAGATCTTGAATCCCCTCTCAATCTTAAGTCAGGTGACCTGACACTTCCTCTTCCCAGAGCAGATCCTAAGCTTGGGGATCAACCCTGATACAGATAATGACCTTTTGAAGTTGGCTGGACCCCTGAGGCTGCTAACACTTGTCACAACTGAATCTAGCACGCACACCCCTCTTGAGTAGGAAGGGCTAGTTTCTCACCTCTTTGCTTAGTCTGAATATGGTATAAGTTCTTAGCTCAGCTCTAAAGATCTTGAGCTCCTGTGACTTGCCAAGGTTAGTGGTTCCTGGGTAGCAAAGCCAGGATCAAGCTGAAGCTAATTTGTCCCTACTCTACTGCTGTTTATTTTCATTTTGTCATGCAGCCTCTGAAACCGCAGGGGCGCTCTGATCTCCACCTGCAATTTTTATACTAAGGAAGAACAAAACTGATAAGGCTGGAGAGAAGGGGCCATGTGTTGGGGATGGGATAAGGGTTAGCTTGACTTGCTCTGCAGTACCTAGTCCTGGTAGGTGGAAATGGCATTTTAATATGTGCTTTACCTCTTCCTTATCTCTCTCTCTCTTTTTTTTTTTTTAAACTCCACATTTATTTATTTATTTATCTGGCTGTGTTGGGTCTTCGTTTCTGTGCGAGGGCTTTCTCTAGTTGTGGCAAGCGGGGGCCACTCTTCATCGCGGTGCACGGACCTCTCACTATCGTGGCCTCTGTTGTTGCGGAGCACAGGCTCCAGACGCGCAGGCTGAGTAGTTGTGGCTCACGGGCCTAGTTGCTCCGCGGCATGTGGGATCTTCCCAGACCAGGGCTCGAACCCGTGTCGCCCGCATTAGCAGGAAGATTCTCAACCTCTGCGCCACCAGGGAAGCCCCCCCCCCCCTTTTTTTTTTGATGTGGACGTTTTCAAAGACTTTATTGAATTTGTTACAACACTGCTTTTGTTTTATGTTTTGGGGTTTTGGCCCAGAGGCATGTGGGATCTTAGCTCCCTGACCAGGGATTGAACCCGCACCCCCTGCATTGGAAGGTGAAGTCTTAACCACTGGACCACAAGGGAAGTCCCTGTTCCTTCTCTTTAATTAAAAAAACTTATTTCTTTCTAATTCATAATGGTCCCATAAAGAATTAGTTTGGAGTTGAAATTCATTCAGTCATTTCTTTCTTTTTTTTTTTTTTTTGCGGTACGCGGGCCTCTCACTGTTGTGGCCTCTCCCATTGCGGAGCACAGGCTCCGGACGCGCAGGCTCAGCGGCCATGGCTCACGGGCCCAGCCGCTCCATGGCATGTGGGATCTTCCCGGACCGGGGCACGAACCCATGTCCCCTGCATCGGCAGGCGGACTCTCAACCACTGCACCACCAGGGAAGCCCATTCAGTCATTTCTTAAATGTATGTTATCTGCCTGCTCTGTGCCAGGAGCTAAAAGTGAGGGAAAAAACAGAAAAAGCAGGCGCCTCATCAAACATTGTTGTCTGAGAGAGTACCCAAGTGGAGCAGGGGGGCAGGACAGGCAACAAGAAGACAAGTATCCGTAGTTCTTGTTCTTGAGTAAATTTTAATTTAATGACCTCAGGAAAGAGTTCAGTTCTAGCTACATCTAACTTTCAGTGTGTTTTTATTTTCACAGCTGACAACAGCTTTATGGTACCTTTTCTTTTGGGAGTGAATCAGCATCTGTACTTTTACTTTCCCTTATTTCTTCCTTTGTCTCTTCCTGTAGATGGCTGTCACTGGTGTTTGCTGGTTTTTAAATTTTGTGCCCCCCCCCACTCCCCACCCAAAGCTGTTACGTAATTTTGGTTTTACTACTTGGAAGGCGTTTCCCTTCCGGGTGTGTAGTTCCAGTGCACATCCCATTCTAGGTAATATTTAAATAGTGTTTAAGATGATTTTTGAAGAATCTTAAAAATAATGATACATTCATGTATAGTTAATACAATAGGAATGACATACTACAGTTATTTACAGTTGTGATTTTAAAAACATGCAAATATTATACACATTTGGGAAAATCATTCTTTATCCTTTTCTTCCAGGTTTCATCAGTTTCACCCTTTTCTGTGTGCAGCTGATTTTAAAAATACTGCTTCCTTCTATGGTAGCGATAAGTTTGATTTGCCCTATGGGATAAGAACATCAGGTCAGTAATATTATTCTTACCCTGCCCTATTAATATGAGTGGTGTGTGATGTGAATCACATGTTTATATAATTTTAAGGCCTTTTAATCTTTCTGTTTCATAATGATTCCTAAGGATATGATTTGGGGATTGGGTGAAAGGAATTAAATTTTAATACATAAATCTCCATTCATTTTGAGTCAGTGTGGAATAAAAGAATGAAAAAAGGTAGACTTTTTTGTTTTTGAGAAACTGCTTTTCACTTTTGTTTTGCCACCATATTATTCATGAGTTCCAATGCCTTGCTTTATTCCAATTCAGAATTAGCAAGACAACCCTATGGGTTAACTTCCTCCCTATTTCCCATTTCACCTCTTTACCTATGAGTTTTATTTTATGTCATCACATTCTAGGTCCTTGGTCAATCTTTTAATTTAATCAGAGGATGTTTTATTTTTGCTAAATTTAGAGAGAATTACTCCATTTACTAATGATGAAACGATTTTCCCTCTGCTTGTTGACAACTGCTTTGCCTTGCACGATTGTATATTCTAGATTTTGAGAGACCCTGAAAGCCTAGGAGGTGACAAGCCTATAGTTTCCTGAGTTAGACTTTTCTTATTCAGCTGATCCTGGGTGTGTGTGTGTGTGTGTGTGTCTGTGTGTGTGTGTGTGTGTGTGTCTGTGTGTTTAAAATACATTGCAGAGAGTTTGATAATCTAATAGGTTTAAAGTTGCAGAATATTGATTTCTATATTTATTAATTTTATTATTAATAAAATTAATAATCATTCAATTTTATTTTTATTATTAATTATAATTAATATTACTAATTATTAACAATGTTAATAATTATAGTTTAATTATTATTAATAAAATTATTAATATTAACAATGTTAATAATTATAGTTTAATTATTATTAATAAAATTATTATTTTTAACTATTAATATTTATTATTAATTAATATGATTAATTAACCTGATATGATTAATTTTTGCTTATGATTGTGTTTAGATTAAGCATCTTATTTTTCTGGGGTTTTTGGAGAATGTCCTTAGAGCATTTACCATTTTGAGTGCGCCTGTTAAGCAGTGCTGGCTAATTGCAGCTGTAACATGAATTTTCACCACAGAATAAATCACAGGTGGCCATGCCAGTTTGAAGTGGGTTTTGGGGAGGGCAGTGGATAAGGTGGTTTACTGTGTACCTAAGAAGTCATGATTGCTGTTATTCCTAATACTCCATTTGTCTTCTAGCCGAATACTTTCGACTTGCTCTTTCAAAACTGCAGAGCTGTGATTTCTTTGATGAGTTTGACAAGTGAGTTTGTTTCCTTGCTTCTGTTTTACTTTTAGTTTTAGCTAAGTTGATTCAAAACATGTACCCCAGTGTAAAATACATTCACTCAGGAAGATTCCATATCTTTTGTGCATAAATAAAATGCCTAGGAGTTATTTCTATGACACTTGAAGTAAACAGACTACAAATATAGTTTAGAAGTTGCATAATTGGTTGGCTCAAAAGATTGCAGACAGTCTTGATGGTGTGCCATGCTAGTCCCAAGTCAGGACATTTTTAACCCACGTTCATCTTTTCTAAGTTGTTGTTACTGAAGAATTAATTCACACTCCCTGTTAATCAGCTCACAGCCTCCTTCCATGGCATGGTTCCCATACCTTCCCATACATCTTCTAAACCGCTCCCTCATGAGGATCTTTTCTGTTTCACTTGAATATTGGATTTCAGAAGCAGCTCTCTTTCTTTTATTCAGAATTACATTTGAGGGAAGTGAACAGCTTGTTTAGATACACATTTTCTGACTACAAAAGGCAGTTTCGTTTTTAGAAAAGTTTGGTGTCCATTTAACCCCTTAGGAATTGAGTTGCCAAAGACTTCTTAGCAAGTCAACTTATTTTACAGAGGTGGACTTATTTCACAAAGTTTTAAGCTGTACTTTAGAATTTGGCCAGTTGTCCAGTGGGATGAGAAGGGTGATCTGCAGCTGTGAGGCCTCCATTAAAAAGGAAAATGGCAGAATTCCCCCCCTTATCCAAGAGAATAGAGGTGCTTTTTGGTGGGTGCAGAAATGGGGGCAGTAGACGGAGGTGTGAAAATGGAGATAGTTTACAGAACAGAGCTGGAGGAGTAGTGCTAGATTTTGTCTGAATTTACCTAAGTTTTCTCTGTCAGGGGCCCAGATTATTGAGGTGTAGACTATGTAATAATGTTGGTTCATTTCAGTTTGTACTTTTTATAATTTAAAACTATGCCATCAACCTAATCGATTTCAATTTTTGATTGCATATCCACAGCAACCATATATATTCTTTTCTAACCAAAATTTCTACAGCTCTCATCTGTAGGATATTGCTTTATGCAGACCTTTGGCATGTGTGCTTTTTATCAATTCTAAATTTTTTTTTTTTTTTTTTTTGCGGTACGTGGGCCTCTCACTGTTGTGGCCTCTCCCGTTGCGGAGCACAGGCTCCGGACGCGCAGGCTCAGCGGCCATGGCTCACGGGCCCAGCTGCTCCGCAGCATGTGGGATCTTCCCGGACCGGGGCGCGAACCCGCGTCCCCTGCATCGGCAGGCGGACTCTCAACCGCTGCGCCACCAGGGAAGCCCTCTCTCTAACTTTTTACTACCACCCTGCAAAGTATGGTCCATGATCTCCATTTTTTAAATTGAGAAACTGAGGCCAGGCAAACATATATAGTTTGTTAGAACTGGTAAATGTCAGAGCCAGGATGTGAACCTGGGTGGGTCCATCCAGGGGTGGATGTTTGACTTCACAGTGATAATGGTTATACCTTAAATAATTGTAGCAGGTATCTGCAAAGCTTTGAAAAAATCCTTGGCCCTGTAGACGTGAGATACTGTCAGAATTCTTGATGGGACGTGACTGGAACTTTTGTTCTTGCCTGTTTTGTTTTGTTTTGTTTTTAATTTTTATTTATTTATTTATTTATGGCTGCGTTGGGTCTTCATTGCTGCGCGTGGGCTTTCTCTAGTTGCAGCGAGTGGGGGCTACTCTTCGTTGCGGCGTGCAGGCTTCTCATCGCGGTGGCTTCTCTTGTTGCGGAGCACGGGCTCTAGGCGCGCGGGCTTCCGTCATTGCCTGCTTTTTATCTTAGAATTAGCCGTGCTTTATTTAGTTGCTTTCAGAGCCTCTTCCTGCACAGGTATTCATCATCTGTATGTGCCTCAGCCAGGCTACCTCCTCTCTTCTTGCCGACTTGGTCTGGCTGCTCCCCACCCTTTCCTCCTGCCACCCGCTCCCACCAGCAACCCACGTCGGGTTCTCAGCATCACTAGCATTGGGAGGGAGGTGGGTGTGGGTGGTGAGGAAACACTGAACATCATGCTGATTGCACAAAGGTTCCTGAGTCTGAAGTTGTTAAGAGATGGAAGTACCATCAATGTACAAGCAGAAACTGTGCAGGTATACAGTGAATGGAGACTGTCCCTGTAGGATCCTCCCAGAGTACAGTGATGCAGTAGACACTCAGCATTGCTGAATTGCTTGTGTGATGCGTGCAAACTTGCTCCCTAGAGACTTCAGAAAGAGCGTTTTGAAAGTGGATAAGAATATACTTGTGACAATATTATCTTCGTTTAGATATTAACTTTTAGGAGGAGTTCACGTGTAATAATAAATTTTACCTACATTTTAAGTAAGTCATTCTACATTTGTCTGAAACCCACGGTACAATCCAAAGATCATAACAGGCCAGCCCATGCCTGAGCAATAAATATGTTTTAAGTAAACCCCAGAAAGGCAGAATACACTAACCTGCCTATCGCTGCCTCGGAGTCAACTCAGTCTACCCCCCAAATAACCTTATACATTTCCCATTTCTCCTCTCTGCCTGGGGAAATGCCGTAGAAGAAAGAGGTGTGAGAACAGTCTGTCCTTCTCTGGCAGGATCTGGACCGCCCTTAGTCGGGGAGTCCTCCCTGAGCCCTCACTGTGGATCCGGGAGCTGTGGCCCTCGTGTACCAGGAGGAAGCCTTTCTGGCGGAGGCTTGCTCACTCTCTGTAGGGGTCTGTAGGTCAGAGAGGAGGGGCTCAGGTGGAGAGAGGTGAGAACCTCCTTTTCAAGTCCCTTCCCCCTTTGGCTGTTCTCTTTGTCCCTCCCACAAAGGTTCAGACATTTTTTTGTTGTTTCAAATCTGAATCCTTTACTTATCTCATTTAGCATGCATGATGCCCTTGGTTGGGATAGATTTTACTGTGAATGGGAAAACTCCAAATATCGGTTGCATTTGCAAGATACAACTTTTCCTCTTTCTTACAATTGTCATGTAAATGAAGCCTGCCGTTAAGCAATCTCAGGCCAGCTTAGCAGCTGTTAATCATCAGAGACCAAGGCTTCTCTATTGTGACTCTGTTATTCTTCCTTATGGTCCAGTCTGATGGCTGGACTTCACCAGTCATGTACATTCTGGCCAGCAGGGAGGATGAAGGGGGAAGGGCATGCCCCCAGCCATTAAGACTTGCCTCCTTCTTTAAGGATATTTCCCAGAAATTACATATAACACTTTATTACAGCCAGTGATGTGTTGGAGCCTGTTGGTACCAACTTGTGAGAGCTGCCGCTCTTCCCAGGTCCGTGTTCAGTGCCATCCAGGTAGAAGCTTGAAATTAGCCGTGGTGGGAATATATTTATACCATGGAAATTGGCAAACACTGCAAACTAGGGCTTCCCCATCACTCCCCTCTCTCCCAAAGAGGACTGATTGTTAAAAATTTTCTAGCAACCACCAGTTATATCCCATTGGCTAGGGGTATAATCACAAGGCCTTTCTGGAAGGTGGACTGGAAAATGTAGCCTCTATTCCATGTGGCTGTGCACCCACCTTAGAGAGAGAGAGAGAGAGAGAGAGACCTATTTTAAGAGACAAATGAAACATAGTTATTGAGGGGCAAGTAGCAGTCTTTGCCAGTGTTGTCCCCCATTTCCTGTTTCTGTGCCTGGAAATATTCAAGATTCTAAAGTCAGTTACATAACACTATACCAACTTAGCTTGGTGCTAGAAGCAGCCAACTGTGGTTTCTCTCTTGAAGATGAAAGCTGTGGAAACATATTGGGGTTGCAGATCGTTTTGAAGCGGGGTTTCTTATGAGGTCTTACTTATGCCACCTTTGTAGGTAATGTGAGTAAAGTAACTCAGTGAGGCAGGGAGAGCCTTTTTCTACAGTCACTACCATGCAGAACTTGGGCCAGAGATAAAGAGGGACGGGAACAGGAGTGTGCGTGTCTGGCCGTAACTGTGTGGCAGAGCCCAGGAATTTTAAGACTTCCATGCTGCTGCTTTGCTCTACCTCCCCTCTTCCCTCTATCCTGCCCGCCCCCCCCACAAATCTGTTCTTTTTCAAAGTTTTTGGTCACTTAGTAATAATCGTAATAATTTGCCTCCCTTCTTGTAATCACATCTGTTAGAAAAAGTATTTTCATTATAGAAAGTTGCCTTTCGCCCTAATTTTGTGATAGGAGTTCTCAATTTTCCCTGTGAAAAGATGAGAACACGTGATAGGCCATTTACGTACCCCATTGTATTTTATTATGTTATTTATCTTTTTGGTATGTAGTTTTAATAGAGGGTTAATCTTGGGCTTTTTCTTTTATATTCTTTCTGAGTTTCTCTCCTGACCAATGGTACAGCAGGTTGGGATGGGGTGAATATTGAGGCTGCTAAACTGTTCCCTAAAGAATCCCAGTTACCTCACCTCACCTGTTCCTGCTCAGTTGTGTGGACTGAGGGCCAGACCCAAAAGCACAGTAAAGTCACAGAGAGGGTCAGAGGCAGGAAGGATGGAGATTGTTAGTCCAATCCCCTCATTTTAAAGATGAGAGGACTGAGGTCCATAGAGGTTAAGAGGTCTCCAGACTTCCACTCTTCTCCAGTTACTCCCTTTGCATATAACCAGCAGCGCAAAGACAGAAGACTCCACAATTAAATGTCTTAGACTGAGTGTCATCTGAAGAGGTAAGGGGAAGAGAATTCCGGAACTGTGAATTCTTTTGGGTGTATTCTTCAGGATTTCCAGGGCTATAAATCGCCCACCCACCCCCATTATGTAATGTGGCTTCTGCCTTTATCCTTAACCTCAAACCATTTTTAATACTTTTACAGGGCTAAACTAAAACATCTCCAGGGTACATGTGTACATTCACCAAAACAGATGTACATTAAATAGGGTTTTTCGTCTGTTTTTTGTGGGTTTTTTTTTTTTTGCCTCTTAAAGATAAATGATCTGGATAGAATCTTCTCTGGATAGATACCGGCAAATTACAGAGGCGGCCAACTGGCATAT